AAAATATAAATTAAACAAATCTTAAAATAAAATAGGTCAATTAACATTTTGAAAGTTGTGTAAAAAATTCTGTAATTAAATGACATTTTTGTTGACTGAAAATTCAAAGTTCTCATTTCCAACTGACAAAGAGACAAGGTCCCCAACCTCCGGATCCCCCCCTCGTGGGTTGCATTTTTAAGTCCCAGGGGATCTCGCACCTGATCTTATAAGTTGTTTGGTTTAGGTGCAGCTGTCCAGTCTTGTGGATTAGATTCAACCCCTTTCTCTTTCTCCAAAAATTACACTTACAAAAAAACTTACTCTCGTTTAAAGAAAAAATGACAAAGAGACAAAGTCAACTTGTCAATTCCTACGATCACCTTTCTGATCAATTCCAGACTTCCAGTCTTCTCCTTAATTGATTTCGTTGGAAAAAAAGGTCCCAAATCTGCCTGCTTTAGGAGTAAGACTTTCGAAGTAGATGATTCGTTTTGAAACTTTGAAGTGTGTAGGTTTGTTGGTCGAGATTTTAATCTTCACTGATAACTTGGAAAAAATTCTCTCCCCCAAATTGTAGACTATTCAGAAAAAAAAATCTGCCTGCTTAGAAAAATAAATAAGTAAATCGGTAATACTTCAATGACATGTAAATCACTGAAAGAAGTACATGATGGATAACACATTTTATAATAAATAATAAAAAAAACATCATCCCAATATTAGAAATCTCTTATTTAGAGTAATAAAATATATAATATATTAATAATTTATTAATTTAAGTAAAAAAATCATGTACATGAAAAAATAGAAATAGAAAAAGTTTTAATCATAAATTTAACCCGATTCAATTTTAAATTAATTAAAATTTAATATAATTTTTAAATATTAAAAGATTTATTAAAAAAATATGTAATTTATATCCTCTTTTCTATAATTCAATTAAAATGTTTGTTTACTCTATTTATTTTAAAATAATTATTTTTTATTTAAGATTTGTTTTAAATATTGTCATTTTTTCAAGGAGATAAATATTTTTTAATTATTACTTTTAATTTTAATTATTCACATTACCATTAAAAAATTTTAATTATTTATTTTTAGGAATAATATAAACAAAAATATAAATTGTTTTACAATTCTTAATTTGGATTTGTAAAAAAATAAGAATAGTTATTTTGAAATAAATGGAATATAATATTTTGTATGACAGTCTCATACATACACTACTTTTAAATACAAAAAATTTTATAATATGACGTAATATTAAATAAGTATATATATTTTGATTCTTACTAAACCTTAAAATAAAAAGAATTAATTACAAAATATTATGTTATATTATACAATGTATTGTATTATTCTTAAAAAATCATCATATGTAATTCTCAAATTAAAAAAATATTATATGTTATAATATTTTGAGTGTTTAGTAGTATAATGTGATGCAATAGTATCAAATGAATAGATTAAAGTACCAAACCTCATAGATCAATTATTTGGTACACCTAATACTTTAATAATAATTAAGGTTCAAGATGTAACAATGTCATGTTATTTCCTATCCTCCTACCCCTCAAATTGTACTGTTAAAAAATGAATAGGCTAAAACTAATTCATATGTTGAAATCATTCAATTACCCACATTCTCAAAATTATTGCAAACATGTAGATGAATTATTATTTTACAGACAATTCTATTCACAAAAATAAGGAGTCTACAAACACATTAATTAGGAAAAGATGGAATACCCGCGGATGATGCGAATGGAAATGGGAATGGTTACACCCAGAGAGAATTTCCATGGATGGTTCTTGAACTTGATTAAAAAATATATCTCTCCTGTTAATCATTTCACTGGAAGAAAAAATTGCATCACGCAAGATTTAAAATCCATGGATTTTGATTTGAGAACACAGATTTACTTCATTTTTGGATTAAAATTTCAAAGTATCTAGTTCTGGTCATTCTACCTAATTGTCTAAGGGATTTTATCCTTTTTCGGAAAAAATTTCGGTAGGGATTGTTCACAAGGATTTTTATTTTTATTTTTATTTTTTTATATATTGAGTTACACTATAAATTATTCACAAAGATTAATTCCTCCTCAAGATGCTGCTCTGAGAGTAGAGGGGCGTTGTTTTTACGTAATTGGGCTTCGGCCTTATTCAAGGCCAAAAATAAGTCCAACCAACTAGGTGTGTGGGCGTAATCCTCTTCTTTCATTTTTTTTCCAAGTATAACTTTGGTGAAAGGGATTTGAATTTAATATTTAAAACTAGAGGATGTACCTTTTGTAAAAACTTATAATTAATTCAGGTGCGGGTGTAACCCTTTTCTTGGTAATTACATGAGGGCAAACTTTAATGATAATAGCCATTATACAGATGCAGTTTCTGGGTTTAATCAATATTATTTACTTGGTGGATATGTTTCAACAAAATTTGATAGAATTAGAACTAATACAGAGTTTAATGTTTTTCCATATGGATTATATAAAAAATACAGTTTGAGTATTGAAATAACCAAAACACAGTTAATAAATTAATTCGGAGTAAATTTTCAGTAAATGTATTTTTATAACTTTATTTCTTGAATTAAAAATTAAAAAAAAATAAATCTATGAATAATAAAAGCAAACAAAATAACAGCAAAATAAGCACAAGAGCTTGTCTCAGGAAACCTACAGGAACTTTGAAGTTTCATCCTTATTATATGAAAGCGTCTGCACAACTTATCTCATGGTGGGTCTTGCATCCATGTTCTCTTCCACACATCGCAAGGACATTTTAACCAGAAGTTTCATCTTATCAATGTCAGAATCGTAGGCCAACATGGGACCTGCAACCTCTTCGATCCATGTCTCTCTCGAAGCTGCTCCAATTACCTTCTCCCTCAGCCATGGAACCAACCTCCCATGCTTCACCACCTGATCTCCATTATTGTCGACAATTTGAGCTCCAGTTAAGCTCTCTCCGGTCACCATCTCCATAACTACAATTCCATAGCTAAAAACATCTACTTTGGAGGTAATTGGAAAATTGTAAACCCACTCAGGAGCCACGTAGCCTCTTGTTCCTCTTATACTCGAGAAACCTGAGCTATTGAGACCACCTCGGTTTAGCAGCTTAGACAGCCCAAAGTTTGCTACCTTTGGTTGGAAATTGGAGTCCAGGAGTGTATTCTGTCGCGTAATATCACGGTGCAGAATCCATTCCAAAACACTCTTCGTGCAAACAAGCCAAACATTTTGTAGTGCCGACTGCAATTTCGAACCTTGTTGCCCAGTGGAGTGAATTTTTTTTTATAGATTATCTGCTAAAGATCCATGCTCCATGTACTCCTAAACCAAAAGCCTTTGCTTTCCTTCTGCACAATACCCCCACATTTCTATCAAGTTCATGTGATTAAGACCTGAAATTGTACTTACTTCCGTGGGGAACTCTGCTTCTCCTTGGCCAGCCTCATGCAGATGCTTGATTGCAGCAATGCGGTGGTCAGGCAACACCCCTTTGTACACAATTCTGGTGCCACCTCTTCCTACTTCTTCACTGAAACCATTGGTTGCCCTTTCAAGCTCACAATAAGTGTATCTTCTCAATCCAGTTGCCGCCTGTAAGTATCCATGGCCTGTTGCTTTGTTCTCTTCATCACTTCTAAACAAGATAAACCAAACCAAGAAAAAGCATACAAACTTCACAACTCCTACCACAACTGAGAACCAAAGCAAAAACCCAGGGATCCCTTTTGTCTGCTTTCTGAATGTGTTCTATTTAGCATAGAAACTTCTCGGTTGTTGTCACAACCAGACCTTGATTCCTCGTAATTTCAAGTAAAAATCCCCCACAAAAGCTTATGAGCGATTCCACATTAGGCAACCGTAACTTGGGGTAAAGCATGGTCATCCTTTCTGTACTTAAACTGGAAACCTTTGTAATCACCCAATTTCAAGCATTCTTCTTCACATCCCTTTAAGGTACTAAACCGGAGGTAACCCTTATCGTAACCGTAGAATTCAACATGACTAAGTTTGACAAAACCAAACTCACTTTCGTTGCAAGAATCTATAAACTCTGCTACTCAACCCCGAGACCAGTCAGTTTTACTTGCAATCCTATACCCTGGTAAGCAGGAACGTGTCCTACCCAGAATATTGTCATACTTGCACAGGCTGTTTGCTCTGCAAAGGCCATGGTTCTTCAAAAGCTTGCCAAGTAACAACCCATGACTCATCTGTCTCTACGAGACTGTATAGTCGTAAATTACCAT